TGCAAGGCTTGCGCATCATCAGTTTTACTTGTGGCCACCGGCCCGCCATGTTGCAACGGGGAAGGAAATGAATGAACCACCGTTAGGAAACCTTCCTTGGCTACTCTGTCCGCCCTTGCCTGTGACTAACCTCTCACTCCTCCCTTAGTAGGGTGGAGTCTCCTTTATCCGGTAAACCAGGTGATGCAAGGCTTTCCCCCTTTCTTGGCTCTCAAAAAGAACGGAACCTCACAACGCAGCCTCAAGCATCAAGCCAAATATCTTCTCAGGCCTGATGCTGCTTCTAGACAATTTTCTGATGAATCAAACAAGTGGGTTCAGGGAGACCCTGTTGTCCTCCTTACCCCAGAGGTGTGGTAGCTATGGCTTAGTGCCAGACTGGGGGAGCTGAGTCACCGTGGTTAGAAAAGAAAATTTACACCACAAAATGGCTCCCATAGCAGCAGCCCCTTCCCTTGCACTGGCTCAGCGCTCGCTGCCTTTTTTGCTCTGGCAGCCTAGCTGCTGACCTAACCCTAAAGGCCACTATAAAGGTCACTGGGGGGGTATTAGGTGTCTGTGAGTCTTGAGAATCCTGCCCTTCTTCCCATTCCATCTTCCAGAAACTAGATCTCCCCACTCCACCCTGATCTGAGTTAAATATAGCTGCCTGACCTTTCTGTAGGTGGGAGCCTGGGCTTCTGCTCTCCTCCACCCCCTTCCACTACCCACACATCTGTTGCTCCCAATGCTGATTTTAGCTAGGAAGGGCAGGTAGTTTAGCAAATTAGAGACTTGGGATTAGAGTGCTTGAAGACCAACTGGTTTTTTCCATATCTTTACCTTAACCTTGCCCTTTTGTAGGAGGGACTTGGAGAAGGGGTGGACTTATACCCTGTCCAGTTAGATTCTGTCTGACCTTTACTCCTGCCCTTTGAGCTTGGTGATGCTGAGTATACAAGTCTTTTCTGCACAGAGGGTGTAGCCTGAATCCAGGCCAGGCAAAAATAAGCCTTCCCGGGGAATGGGAAGCAGGAATGATAAATGCCATGTACCGAGCTTGTACCCATGCTGTGGGTGGCATTGTCCTACATTAGTACTTCTTGAAGGATTTGAGATGACTGGGGGGTGGGCAAGTCTTTAAGCCTAGTTATCTCCTAGGCAGGAAAGGAGCCTTCACTTTATGACCATGCTAGAAAGCCAGATCAGCCTGGCAGACTTGCTGAAGGAAGATAAAATTAGACCTCTTAGTATTTTGGGGGATGGGGGGTAGAATTATGTACAGTTGGCTGCTCATGTCTGAGGGTTCCACATCAACCAACTTGATGGAAAAGAACACAGGGGAAATAGATAAAAGTTCCAAAGAACAAAACTTAAAATTCCTGTCCACTAAGTACTAACTGAATCCACATAAATGAAATTATGTGTAGGTATTGTTTAGGTATTAAAAGTTAACCTAGGAGTGATTTAAAGTATGTAGGAGGATTGCAGATTATATGCAAATACTGCATCATTCTATGTAAAGGATTTGAGCATCCACAGATCTTGATATGGGGGAGGATCCTTTTCCAGAACCAATTCCCCATACATACCTACGGATAACTATTTTTTCTGGAAGAGGATGAATCAGCATATCTATTCCCTATCCACAATAATTCCCTTCTCATACTTTCTTGCTTCTCACCTCAGATTTGGCCGTATTGGGCGCCTGGTCACCAGGGCTGCTTTCAACTCTGGCAAAGTGGATATTGTCGCTATCAATGACCCCTTCATTGACCTCAACTACATGGTGGGTGCTGCCCTGGCAGGTGGTGGGAGGAGCAGCATGTTTAAGGCAACTGTATTAATGCCCTCAACTTGTTCCCCAGGTTTACATGTTCCAGTACGATTCTACCCATGGTAAATTCCATGGCACAGTCAAGGCTGAGAACGGGAAGCTTGTTATCAACGGAAAGTCCATCTCCATCTTCCAGGAGTAAGTGTGGAAGACAAAACAAGAGATTGTATTTTGTTTCCTTGCCTATTTTTGCACAGCAGGATCAGGGGATTTTTGCTTTGGGGAGGTAACTAGGATAGAGTACCTACCTCAGGTACATGGTACATCACATGCCTGAACTTCGTCCTATTACCTCTCTCCTAGGCGAGATCCCGCCAACATCAAATGGGGTGATGCTGGTGCTGAATATGTTGTGGAGTCCACTGGTGTCTTCACTACCATGGAGAAAGCCGGGGTAAGTGGATAGAAGGCTAAATAGGAGGAGAGTTGACCCTGAATTTGTAGCTAGAAGCATGAGGGAATCTATCTTAACCAGGAAAAAAAGAAAAGCAGAACCTACATTTGTAACCAACCCTTTTGATTATAGGCTCATTTGAAGGGTGGTGCCAAAAGGGTCATCATCTCTGCACCTTCTGCTGATGCCCCCATGTTTGTGATGGGTGTGAACCATGAGAAGTATGACAACTCCCTCAAGATTGTAAGGTAAGGACAGCAGAGGGCATTGGGGAAATGGCAGGCAGGGCTGAGAGTAAGGCTGTGTGCATGCCCTCCCTGACTTTTCCTCTCTTCCCAGCAATGCCTCCTGTACCACCAACTGCTTAGCCCCCCTGGCCAAGGTCATCCATGACAACTTTGGCATTGTGGAAGGACTCATGGTATGTGGATGATGGGAAATGAGACCTGAGCTGATTCTCACTCAGGGCTGGATCGCTGGATCCTTCTCCATACTTAGTTCTTGCTCCAAGACTAGGGGTTTTAAGGGACTGGTTCAAATCTATCCCTCAATCCCTCCCAAGGTGGAGGAAGGAGGCCGAGTGAGGGCTGGTGTGATGGGTACTCAGAGGGGCCTCATTAGCGCTTCCATTTTTCCAGACCACAGTCCATGCCATCACTGCTACTCAGAAGACTGTGGATGGCCCCTCTGGGAAACTGTGGCGTGATGGCCGTGGGGCTGCCCAGAATATCATCCCTGCATCCACTGGTGCTGCCAAGGCTGTGGGCAAGGTCATCCCTGAACTGAATGGGTAAGGCTTTGCTGTACCTAGGGGAAGAGAGGGGAGGGGGTCAGGAGCACCTGGAGCTGACAGTGCTTCCCCCTGTCTACAGGAAGCTCACTGGCATGGCTTTCCGTGTGCCCACTCCCAATGTGTCAGTTGTGGATCTGACCTGCCGCCTGGAGAAAGCTGTACGTTTGGGTTGGAAACGTGGTAGACTGAGATTTTGTCTGGTAAAACAGTGGTGATTTTGGAAAATGAACATCCATCTTATTTTTACCTCATTAGGCCAAATACGATGACATCAAGAAGGTGGTGAAGCAGGCATCAGAGGGTCCCCTCAAGGGCATCTTGGGCTACACGGAGGACCAGGTACTGGTCTGATAGGACAGAGAATTGCCCTATTAAACAGAGGTGGATTCCCATACTTAGCTCTCTTCTTTCCCCAGGTTGTCTCCTGCGACTTTAATAGTGATACCCACTCTTCCACTTTTGATGCTGGGGCTGGCATTGCCCTCAACGACCACTTTGTTAAGCTCATTTCCTGGTATGTAACCTGGGTGGAGGGAACAGACTTTGAAATTGACCTGGTGGCTGGCTCAGAAAAATGGCTCTTAATAACTCATTCACTTTCTAGGTATGATAATGAATTTGGCTACAGCAACAGGGTGGTGGACCTTATGGTCCACATGGCCTCCAAGGAGTAAGAGTCCCTGGACCACCTGCCCCAGCAAGAACACAGGAAGAGAGAGGCCCTCAGCTGCTGGGGAGTCCCTGCCCCTAACTCAGTCCCTCAACTCACTGAGAATCTCCCCCCTTCCCAATTTCCATCCTAGATCCCCTGAAGAAGGGGAGGGGCTTAGGGAGCCTTATTGTCACATACCATCAATAAAGTTCACTGCACCCAGCCACCTGTCTGTTCTGTGGTCATGGGAATGTGTGGAGTGGGACCTGACCTTTATCCTTTGGGGTTGGGGGGTAGGGGTGGGGAAGTGCCTGAGATTGAACTCAAGCACGCATTCAACCACTGAGCCATATTCCCAGCCCTGTTTTGTATTTTATTTAGAAATTGAGTTGCTTAGCAGCCTCACTTTTCCTGAGGCTGGCTTTGAACTCCCAATCCTCCTCTCTTATCCCTTGGGGTCATTGCAATTACAGGTGCCACAGCGGCATCCAGCTATCCTTATTATTACATATATATGCTTCCTCATTTACATTTTTCCCTCTGGGTGCTACGTGAAGCAAACTGAATATTGAAAGGCCCTTCACCTGGCTACCTCTGTTAAAAAGTTATTTTTACTTTTCTTTTTTGGTGGTGCTGGGGATTGAACTTGGCCTTACCCATGCTAGGCACCCCCAGCCTTCAGTTATTCTTTCAGGTACCCTTAGGAAAGGTAATATTGATGTCAGGACTTTGGAGTTGTGTATATGAGCCTGACTGGTTGACAGGCTTGTGAAGTATGTAGTAGGCTGCATGGAGACTCCTGCATGCAATTCTAGTTTTTCCACTCATACCTTCATGTGTGAATAACTGCAAGATGAGGCTATGATTGCACCCTCAGCTTAGGTCTTTAAATTAGGTAAAACTAAACATGATTAAAATGTCAGTAAAACAAGGTTTTACCTCCTCTAGCTTTTAGTGGGTAGTAACACAGGCTGGGAGCTGGTGAACTAGCTCTGCCACTTGGAGGATCTATTTGGGCAAGTTACTTGTAACTTCCTGTACATCATTTTGTGAAATGGAGATGAAAAAACAATACAGAACTCGAGATTCTATAGTTAAAGGGCTTGAATCGGTGACATAAAAGTGTTCAATAAATATTCTCCACTTTGATTATTATTAAAGACTCCATTCAAATGCCAGCACAGCCTCTGAGGTATTCAGAATTGAATCTCTCCACTTCTCAAGCTTTTCCAAGTCAGACGTATCAGCCTGTTGGTTTTGGTGAATGAGACAAGGAAGAGGCACATCTTCAGCCAACACTTCGAAACAGACCCTGAACGCAGGCACATAGACAGAGCTGCTTCACTTTTTTTTTTTTTCCTGTCACTCAGCAGAGACCAGGAGATAAGAGCTATCTTCCTTCAGGGTAATTCACCCAGTCCAGGGCATAAAGGCCCCTTTAATGCACGGTGCCTCCCTCTGTGAGGGAAGGTTACAGTCACATACACTACAGTTGGCAGGTGGACAGCCATGAGAACATGGACAGCAGGACAGTACCTATCCAGTATCACCTCCCTCTATCCATACCAGGAAGGGAAGTCCTGTCCAATTGCATGTGCTGCACAATCCTTTAGGGAACTTCTAGCTGAATCCACTTCATACCAGTGCCTGGGCCAGTTAGCACCAGTACAAAATCAAAGATAGTGGGCTCTAGATCCCAGAGTTGGAGGTCCCACATTCACATTCCTTACACAATAGAAAAGGTGAAAGGCCATGAGCACTCTTGGCCTTTTAAAGATGGGGAAGTAGCAGACACCACGCATGAAGGCAGGAGAGCCCCATTTGCAGTGGGAGCTGCCCAGGAAGGGCAGGGCCAAGCCTAGCCGCCGACATCCCAGAACTCTAGGGAGGCCAAGAACCAAGGGAGGAAGCCCGAGAGAGGAGCAACACAGGCCCCAGGGCCAGGTTTGGTGTGGTAGTACAAATGGTTTTCCCCTCCATGAACCCCCAGCTTTGGGTCTCGTTGAGCTTCTGGCAGGATGGGGCACAGGGGAGCCAAGATGGAGGTGGTCCCTATCTCATGGAGCTATCAGATGAGATATCGCGATCGGAGTCCTCAGTCTCGCTCGGCGGTGGCGGCGGGTCGCTAAGCGGGACCGCAGTGAAAGCAGGAGACTTTCTAGAAGAAAACGCCAGTTGTTATCTTGGGGCAAACAGAAGGCCTGATGGGGCTGGCATGCCTTTTCCCAGGGACTTATCCTTTGGTGAGGGCAGGGGACCATTGGGTTAAGGATGGATTCAGGGCAAGGGATGTGGGGAGGAGAGAAAGAATCCTCTCCCACACTGCCCTGATGGGGGAAATGGTCCCTGCTTTTTATCTTACGGGCTCTGAGAGTTTCAGCAGTCAGAAATGTCTGAAGTCACAGCATAAGAGATGTCACCTGAGATATATATGTATGCATATAATTCAAACCTTAAAAAAAATAAGAGATGCCAACTGAGTATACTAACCTTAGGTACCCCGCTTTATGTATATGTGTAATTTGTTTTGTTTTCGTTGTGCTGAGAATTCAACCCAAAGTCTCATGCATGCTAGGCAAGTGTTCTACTAAGCCACATCCCTAGCCCTGTAATTTGTTTGACATTTTTGTTTTTGTTTTTCTGAGACAGTGTCTTACTATGTTACCCAAACTCTCCTCAAACTCCTAGGTTCAAGCAATCTTCTACCTCAGTCTCTGGAGTCACTGGGACTACAGATAAACACCAGTGCACCCAGCTTATTTGTAGAATTTTTATGGTTTGTTAAAATTTACTCTTTTGTAAGGCATAACTTATACAGACAGGGTCAATCAAATGCACAAATCGTGGCTTTGACCCCACATCCCTCTGTGTTCCTTGCTAGTTTTTAAGCTGTGTCTAACCAGTGAAACCCCTAGAGGTGATGGTACTGAAGGGAGGAAGAAAAAGCTGTCCGTCTGGGCCAGATATACCAGGAGACTTGCAAAAGACAGCCCCACATCAAAAGTAACCAGATACTGGGCTGCAGTTATAGATCAGTGGTAGAGCACTTGCCTAGCATATGTGAGACACTGGGTTTGATAATCAATACCACATAAAAATAAATAAATAAAGGTATTTAAAAAAAAAAAGTAGGTACTACCCAAGGGTATTTAGGGCCTGCTGGTCAGAAGGCTCTGCTCCCCCATTCCTTTCCTGCATCACCCTGGAAGGCAGGTACTCAGAAGAGCAGGCAGGCCCTACACTCCAAGCAGGCCCTTACCGGTCTCCAGACTGGGTGATGAGCCGGCGGCAGGTCTCCATCTGCACATCCAGGCCCCGCTTCATGCTGCACATCTCCATGTACTCATGCAGGTGTCGGTTCATGTCGTTCTTCGCTGTCGCCAATTCCAGCTATGATGGGGCAGGACAGGGCCACCAGAGTTAGCAAGCCCAGGGCAATAGTACCTCTGCTCCCTTGATCAGGAGGCTAACATGCCAAGAGCACCAGCTGGACCAGGGATCCAGGAAGCCATGGTTGAAGGCTCAGATTTAAAAAGAAATCAGATGGGGCTGTAGCTGTAGCGCTGTGGCAGAGCGCTTGCCTGGCATACATGAGGCACTGGGTTCAATCCTCAGCACCACATAAAAACAAATAAAATAAAGGCATTCTTCCATCTACAACTACAAAAAAAAAAWTTTTTTTTAAAGACAGAGAATGATTCAACCACTTTTAAAAAATTAAAAATCAGATGGAGACAGAAAGCACCAAACTATACAATAGTTTCCTCAGAACTTTTTTCTTTTTTTTCCATGGTGCAGGAGATGGAACCCAGGGCCTCACACACAAATGCTAGGCAAGTGCTCTATCACCAAACAGTATTCCACCCACCCCCACCAAACAATCCTTTTCTCAGGAATCTCTGCTTACAGAAAAACACAAGGGTATCTGTTGTAGGCCTACATTCTTCTTCTTTTTTTTATTTTTATTTTTTAGTAGTTGTTGAACTTTATTTTATTCATTTATTTATAGGCAGTGCTGAGAATCAAACCCAGTGCCTCACACATGTGAAGCAAGCGCTCTACCACTGAGCCACAACCTCAGCCAGGCCTCCATGCTTTTAAAAGATAGATATGAGCAAAGAGAAAAGGAATGTCAACATGGGCAGGAATAGAGATCAACATTCTAAACTGCTTGGGGCAGCCACCTGTGGATGCCCTTGTTCCCTCCCTGGGGTTCCCACAGAGCTCAGCTCACCCCACATTTCCTATGTGATGCTGGCTCTAGCCAACCTCCCTTACTAACTTGTAGCTCCTTTGAGGGCTTTCAGGGGTCTTACTCATGTCTGTGTGTCCAGCACTCCCTCAATGAGAATTAATCAACTCAGTGAAGTATCTGTAAGATTCACAACAAATAGGAGGAAAACCTGACTATGCTATTTATTCAAAGAGGCTCAATTCTCTTACCATTTTCTCCTCCTTACTTTATTTCTCTCTTATTTCCAGACACTGGAAAGAAAGACTGCCACACTGAATGTCCTACCAATTATAAGATATAACCTGACTTCAGAATCATTCTAAGTGGGAAAATGAGAGGCTTGGAATCAAGGGAAGATGGTCTTCTTCCCAGAACTCAAATCTGCAGACAGAATCTGACTGTGAGGCAGAGTGAGAGGTGGGGCCAAGCAGAGAAGAATCTGGGCCAGAGACAATCTGGCTGCCTTTGTTTGGGGTACAAAGGCCAGGGGTCCAGAAGGGGACAGGAATCAAACTTCTTGGAGGTGATTGGCTTGACTGTTGGAGAGCAAAGAGAAAGAAAAGGAAAGGGCCCGTGAAGAATGTGATTTGCACAGAGCAGAAGCCACCCATACTAATCTGAGTTGGATGAAAAGAGGATGAGAACTGGAAGAAAGGAGGAAATGGGTCACAGGGCCAGACAAAAGGGACAGCAGAGAGTGCCATTTGGGGTGAGATGGTGGCTGGTGGGTTGGAAGCCCTAGTGAGGATGGCATGAAAGGCACAGTAGCAAGAGGAGCAAGATGTACTAACTGTTCCACCTAGGAGGAAAACATGATGCTGAAACTCTCCTTCAGATCAGCTGCCACCTCTATCCAGCTCTTCCTCCTCAGGAAGCCGAGGCAGAGGCTAAAATCCATCACAAGAAAGGGAGGGAAGAAGGAAGGGAAGGGAACAAGGAAGAAGGAGGTGAAACAAAAATATTCTACCAAAATACAAGGCTAGTACTGCTAGAAGTAGTCTCTACATTTTTATATGTCCCTCTAAGGTCCATTGACAACTAAAAATAAATAGATAGATAGATAAATAAATAAATAAATAACAATCAATCTCCAGAATAGGTGTGTGTAACCAGAGGCAGGGGGGTAGGGGTGGTAAGGATGAGACAGGTGGAGACAGCCAGAGGGTACAGAAGAAAAAACTCCCTCCCACCTACCATCCTGGGCCCTGGCTTTACCATCAAATAATGAAACTGGCCCTGAGATCAAAGGCTGCAAAGATAAAGGCACTTCAGAAGCTATAGGTGGATCACCAGGGGCAATGTTGCAATCAAAGCCACCAAGTCAGCTTCCCCAGACTTGCCCCTCCTATCCTTCTGCTGTAAGATGACTCAGGAACAGCTTAAAAGGCATGCTTCTCTTAGGATATTCTTCTCTTTCTTACTAGGTCATATTTTCAACTAGACACTTCTGGTTAAGGGTCCAGCCAAACAGATGGCAGCTGCAGATCACTGCAATAAGACCCCTGCCTGGTTGGATATGTTGAAGCCTATCATCCAAAAGAGGTAGGGAGAGAAGGAAGAAATAGCAAGGCATACTCASAAGAGTGGAGATCAGTTCTCCCCACCATGGCCTTAGTTAGTAGCAAAACTCTGGCTGTGACTTTCAAGCAGCATTTTTCTGCCTGGGCCAAAAATAAAAGCTGAAATTTGTTGTTGTTTTTTTTTTTTTTACTTCAAGAATCAGGACTGTTTGATGTGTAGTGAGAGAATGAGGATGTAGGAAAACAATTTCTCGACTTCCTTCTCAAAATGCAGGCAGAGCGAGCACAACAGGAATGACATGCCACAAGGACTTGAAGAGAGGTTGAGCTGGAAGTCTACCTGTCTTGCCCCACCACAGTATCCAGGCAAGGGCCATTACACACTTGGACAGGACGCTCGTGGGAGTCCCATCCAATCATTCTCCTCTACAGAATGGCAACCTCCATCCTGTGGCACCACAATCCATCTTGAAAGTTGGAATCTTACTTAAAGCACCAGCTTCAACAACCATCTCTACAGGGGTCCCCAGGGCTATGGAATGATGGAGGAGGAGGCAGACGGGCCATCTCTGAGTGCTACAGCATTGACAGTGCTGATGATAACCAAATCAAAGGCCATTGTGGTGTCCTCACGATAGCAGATCCTGCCCTGAGTTCCATGTGTGGATCAACTGCTTCATTTATTCTTCCAAACCACCCTGTGGGGGTAGGATTATTTGGATCCCCATTTGACAAAGAAAACAGGCTCAAAGAGAACAAGTATCTTGTTCAAAGTTGAGTGGTAAAAAGTGATAGAGCCAAGGTTTGAAACCACATGTCCGCCTCCAGAGCATGGGATCTCAAGGACCCACCAGAGGTACCACAGCCAAGAGATAACAGAAAGTGAAGTCTCTGGACTCTGAGGCCCACATTGAGGGACCCCCCCACATACCTGCAGCCCTGCATGTCCTTACCTCTATCTGGTCAATGGTTTCCTGATATTCTTTTTCCCGGGTTTTAAACAAGGACTCAGTATCTTTAATCACCTTCTCCAGGCTGTCTTCCTGCTGCTGGAGGAAAAGGGGAAGCAAGGGGAGGCCAACCAGGTAAGGATGGGATGGAGAGCATTCCACAGGGTCAAGGCAGGGAGAGAGAGAAAGTCAGGTTAGAGGAAACTGGAAAGAGGAAATAAAAGGATAAAGGAAGAGGGGAGACACAGGGAAAGGATGAAGGCCACAAAGGGAGTAGAGCGAGGAATAAGGAAAGGAAGAGGCAGGGCATCAGGAAAGTCACAGCTGAGGGGCCCTGAGGCCGGGAGGGGTGGTTACCTCTCCCTGGGCCTCTGCGGCTGCCATGGCATAGCCTGAGAAATCCTCCCACAGCAGCAGGGTCTCCTCAGTCTCCTCCCAAGTCAGGCTGTCACAGTCGTCCTCAAAATCATACTCCCTCCTAGAGACAGGGAACCCGTGTGTCAAGGGCAGTGGGGCCTTGTCCAGAAAAGGAGACTGTGGGAAGCTCCGGCCTCGGGAAGGTTCTGGTGTGGGGGCAAGGATAAGGACAGGCCTGCAGGACTCACAGCTGGTTGAGCATGCGCTGCATCTCCTCGTTGATGCTGAGGGCTGTGCTTTCCTCCTCATCCCCATCGGGCTGGCGGGGCCCATCACTCTCCAACAGGGAGGTGTCCTCCTCGACAGCAGCCTTGCGCTCCCGCTTCCGCCCCCCCATGGATGGGACCTTAATGGGAGACAAGTGCAGAGACTACAGAGACGAGGCCGGGTGCATGAGGAGAAAGGGCAGGAGGGGGAGGCCAGGCAGGAGGCAGGGGGCAGGGGGCGGGACAGGAGGAGCAGCACGAACCAGCAGGAAAGGAAGGGTGGGGCAGACAGAGAGAAAAGACACAGTTACAATGACAGGAACAGAAACAGAGAGTCGCCAAGAGACAGGCAGACACACACAGATGGGGCAAGCCTGAAGACTGAGAAGGAAAAAGAAGAAATAGAGAAAATAGAGCAGTAAGATAAGGACAGAAATGGCTTGTTGTGAACACGTTGAGATGTGTCTAATGGCTAAAGAGGAACTTTTTTTTTTTCTAAAAACTAAAAACTTCCTGATGAAATGACTCAAATAAAAAAAAAAAGTTTTGGTCTGGGGGCGGGGTATATGGGTGTAATCCCCAGTACTACAAAATAAACTAATAAAAATAAAGATTTAAGCTGCAAAGAGGATGAGGATTTAGTATTTACAAAGGAGAACTTGACTCGCATCCAGATCTAGAAGGCCAGTGGGAAAAAAAGAGAGAAAGAAATGAAGTAAAGAGAAAAAGAGATTGAAAACGAGAAGAGCAAGGAAAACAGAAAGGGAAGAAGAAATCTGTGCTGAAGAGCCTATTGGGTCAAAATCAATGGCCAAAGGACCTGTGTGGTTCAGACACTGGGACTGGGACATTAATAAACTTGCATGAAAGCAAACTAACCAGCTTCTTCTATGGAGAAAGCAAGAAAGAAGATGAAAGGAAGAGAGAGGAGAAAAGCAGACAGAGGAGAGAGAGAGAGGGAGGGGGGAGATGGCGTTAGAGACAGCTTCCAAAACCTCTCCTGAGGCTGTCCCTTGCCCCCCAGCTTAGTCCCACTGAGGGCCCTGGTACTAAGACAAGGCTCCCCAGGAAGGGGGCAGAGCCTGAGCTACAGGCCAGCCACAATGGAAGCTCTTTCATCTGCCCGCCCCATCCTACTGGCTGATGATAGCCTGGCCCCTCACCTGGAACATCTGAATCATGTCCTCACAGTTGCGCTGCTGAGCCACATCACACAGTTTGGCGGTGATGTCAATGCGGCGGCAGATGTCCATATCTACCTTCATGGCCTTTTCCTGGATTTTGGTGTCCAGCTCTGACAGGTTCTGTCCAGAGAACATAAGGAACATAGGAGGTAGCAAGTACCCCTAGTGGCTTGGCAAAAGCCTCACCCTTCTCATCACACCATTGTCTATGAAGTTCTTAACTCCTGGGCAGAACACCCTTTTCCAGGGGGCCCCTCCTCATAGCATACACTGGGACCATCATGTGACTGGCTCTCTGGTCAAATGAGCTCTCTGAAGGGCATGGCCCAGAATCTGGTACAGACAGGGATTCCCTGGAAACAATCATAGTCCTAACCCTCCTGGAACTTACATTACCAGAGGGAAAGGAGACCATTGGGAATTATAAGTGAAGAAGGTGCCAAGCATGGTGGCACACACCTGCAATCCCAGGAGGCTAAGGCAAGAGAACCACAAGTTTGACCGGCTGAGGATATAGCTCAGTGGTAGAGCACTTGCCAAGCATATACAGGGCCATGGGTTCAAATAAGTTTGAGGCCAGCCTGGGCAACTTAGCAAGATCCCATCTCAAAATAAAAACAAAAAGGGCTAAGGTGTAACTCAGTGGTAGAACACTTGAATAACATGTACAAGATCCTGGGTTCAATCATTAATACTAAAAAAATAAATAAAGAAATCAAGGGKGGAGTGGAGAAAGTACTGTAATAACAGCTATGCTCATTTAGCATTTAAGCATATGCCAGATACTGTCCCAAATACATTGAAATCTTCATGATAATCCTGCAAAGCACACACTTTTATTTTCTCCATTCCACGGATGAGGCTATGGAGGCTGAGGAGGACTTGGAGGTAGAGGAACTGACTCACAGCCATACCACTGACAAGGTGTAGAGCCAGCATCAGAACCCAGACAAGCTGGCTCCAGAGGCTGTGCTCACACTTACTACCAACAAACTCCAGAAATGACCAGGCCATCCTGCCTCTCTGACAGGATGTAAGGCTTTTGTTCCTTCTTTGTATCTTTGTATCTAATTAGAGGGTATCAAGGCCCGGGAAAGCCAGAGGGACAGCAAAGTGAGGGGAGGAATGGCAGACGGGGCAGCAACAGGCCAGTAAGGTCACCCTTCCTGGTTCCAGCTGCCTGAGTATCCCAGCAGGGCCCAAATGGGACAGGCTGAACTCACATTACTCATGAGCCCCTTGAAAACGACCAACTCAGCTTTCAACTGTTCCACCTTCATGGCTAGCTCCTCTTGGCAGGCATCAGCCTCTTGGGCTTCCTATGGTAGAGAGGAAACACTGAACATTAGTGTACTGCCAATAAGAGAAAAGGGTAAAGACAACAAGAAGGGACAAGGAAATGGCACCAGGTTGAAGGAAGCAGTAGCAGTTGGGTAGCCACCCTCACCTCCTGGAGCTCAGAAACTCGTTCCTGCAGCTGTATCCGCACTGTGTATTCCTCTTCCCACCTGACAGATATTGGGAAGAGACAGAAAACGTAGGTTCAGAGTCCCTCCTGCCCCTACAGTTCCCTCTCCCAGCCTCTCTGGCTCAGACCCCAGGTCTGGACCCCTACATGGGGATTTACAGGAATGTGTAGCCAGTCAGTTGGTGGCCAGCTGCAGCTGTCAGGCAGCTCCACATTTCCTGGCAAGGACCAAGCTCACCAGCTGCCTTCCCAGAACCTCCAGGCCGCACACCAGAAACTATGGTTAAGAGTATCTGCCCCTGCTCTGACTCCTTGCAGGGCGATCCCCAGGGGGCCCCAGCTCCCCAGCTGTCTAGCCAGCCTCATCACCCACCTCCTGCCCACACCAGACCACCAGGCCCACCCAGCCCTGTCTCCCACCTTCAGTGGCACAGATCCGGTCTCCTGCCTCCTGCCCGCACCAGAACAGAGCTCGTCTAGCCCGCTGCCCTGCCTCCTGTGGGACCATTTAACCCTGTGAAAGCATCTGCGGGACACAGGCTATATCAACAGAGCTGCTCAGGAGCCTAGTGGGAGACACTCAAGTTCTTCCCCCACCCAAAACCCCTGGAAGGAAGCCACAGAGAGATGACAGGGCTGGCCCTGAAGCTCAAAGTCCCCCAGTAGCACACAAGCAGTGGACGTGAGAAGTCAATGATTACCATATACCCAAACCTGTACCTCGGCAGTGGGGGCATGAAAGCCAGAAGTAGCACCTCTCATTACCCAGAAGTCAGAGGAAGACCATAAGGAGGGTGGAAGACACTCCTGACCACAGGGCAGGGCATGAAGGCACTTCCTAGGACTACATGTCTTATTCCATCACAGAGACAGAAGTGGAATGGAGGCCAGCACTAGGATTTGGCCCTGTCAGTTCAAAACCCCACAGAATTGGTTGGAATAGCAACATATCTCAAATCCTGTTCATATAAACTCATTACTTCTTGACACAATCTGAAAAGCCTTCTTTTAGTCTGAGAAAGGTGGCAAACTGCACTGAGAAAAACCTCAACATAAGAAAGAAGGTGATGAGCTGGGGTTGTAGTTCAGTGGTAGAGAGACTGCCTGGCACGTGTGAGGCACTGGGTTCAATTCTCAGGACCACATATAAATAAGTAAAATAAAGGTCCATCATTAACTAAAAATTTATTTAAAAAAAAGAAGAAGAAGAAGAAGAAGAAGAAAAGAAGAAGGTGAGGAAGCAGCCAAGAGGACAGCAAGGACACTAAAATCCCAGAGAACTATTTCTGTAGTCAGGAGTGAGCCCTTCCTATCCCTTCCCTCCATCGTTTCTGCTTTCTTGCCCTCTCTGGTCCCGTGTCTCCTTGCTTGCCTGTGTTCCACATCATAACCGCACTGCAGTATGCCTAATAATAACTCCTGCATCACCTCGGCTGCCCCTCCCAGTTGGGTTGGCAGAATAGGCAGTCAGCCTGGCCACCATCCTGCTGGTTCACCATGCAGCCCAGCTCCTGGCTTTCCTCGCTAGCCCCTCACATGTCCTTCTCCTTTTGCTCTGGCATTAAAGAGCCCTGATAACATCAGGCTATTTATTTTCTTATATAAGACCCTTATCTTTTCTGGATTCTTCATTTGCAACATGAAGGCGTGGGAGATAACATCCTTATGAATCCATGAATCCCTAGAGAAAGCTAGCAAGATTTACAGGGACCGGCAACCCTGGACAGAATGTATCAAGGAGGACAAGCTGTACTGTTTGACAGTGAATTCAAAAAACTCAGGTGGAAACAAGTAAAGAAGTTAATTAAAGATGAAGATTAGGGGCTGGGGCTGCAGCTCAGTGGTGGGGCATTTGCCTAGCATGTGCGAGGCACTAAGTTCGATCCTTAGCACCACATAAAAATAAATAAATTGGGCTGGGGATGTGGCTCAGGCGGTAGCGTGCTCGCCTGGCATGCGTGCGGCCCGGGTTCGATCCTCAGCACCACATACAAAGATGTTGTGTCCGCCGAGAACTAAGAAATAAATATTTAAAAAATAAATAAATTAATTAATTAATTAACAAACAAAAAAAGATGAAGATTAATGAAGTCTCAAAGGGTAAGAAGTCTGAAAAATGAATCATCTGGAAGCTTGCTAGGATTCTATTTGCTTTTGAGCCAGACTTTTTGACCTCCATTCAAATATCTTTTACAAGCTTCTCTTACTGTGGGTAGGATCGGAGCAATTTTTGTGTATTCTGCATTTATCACATATTTCTCCTACAAATAGATTGTAGCCTTGATCTGAAGCAGGGGGCATTCCTGTATTGGAAAAAACTGAGGCCCAGGAGAAAGGTCAAATAAGGCAGGGGAACTGAAAATAGAGCCCAGGAGGCCTTGGCTTCATCCCAGTTTAATACTAAAGCTATCCCATGCCTTCTGCACTAAAGACAGGAGGTACAGTGTTGCTATAAAGAGACCAGAATGAGGGCAGGGGATCTGGGGTGGAAGAATGAGTACTGCCCGTGTCACGTACCATACAATTCTAGCTATGAGGCCCTCTGCACAGCAACACGCTGCAAAATGATGAGCTAATCAATCCCCAAGGAATAACTCTTTGCTGCCCTGGACAGCTGGACCAAGGACAAATACCTTTTCAGATATAAAAAAAAAAAAAAAAATACGCCCCTGAGAAAAGCAATTGTTCTGTGGTAATGGATGTAGTCCAGAACTGTCCATGTTCCACTGATGGGTGACTGTGTTAATTAACTCCTGCAAGGGCAGGAGCAGGCTGGTTCTGGGTGGCACCTGGATGATGGTTTTAGGACAACTGAAACCCCCAAGGACAATAATAACATGGACAACAACTAATGAAGCCAACMTGAAGCAGGACAATCTCAGTCTGCTGATCTGTGATATGGTAGACTCCAGCAGGTTCCCAGTCCCTGAAAGTCAGCCCCAGACCCAATGGTAATTTCCCAGAACATTCAGCCACTCCTTACCCAGACCTAAACCATATGACAATTCCTGCTATACTGGGCAACAAAGGTAGTCCCCCAACCTGCCCATAAGGAGCCCCAATAGCTCAGAAGGGAGTGGAGTCCCCAACCAAAGTACTGGCTCAGCCTATGCTCCTGTTGCATCAGCCTGGTTACCAACCATCTAAGGAATCCAACTAGTATACAGCCAACACTGCGGCATCACCTCCCTTCCCCTCATCCCTGTACTACCCTACTGGGGCAGGGTTCCTCTCAGAAAGCCAAATCTTCATCCTCAGAACACACTAGGCGTGCCCTGAGTTGTCTTACAGCTGTAGGGTGTGTCCATATTCTAACTTTTCCTTACTCAGTCCCTTTGCTTACTCTGCACATACTTCCTTCACCAGAGTTCACCACCAGCCCTATGACAACTACCAATCCCTTGCCCTTACCTTATGGAATTCCCTTTACTCTTCCTTTTCCCATTTTTTTTTTTAACCTGCTCCAAGCAATGCCTTGGGGTCTTTGGAACCTTTTGTATGGAACCTGGTTTCCATGAACATTCCTTGGGGAAACCCTAGATAGTAACAGGATCACAATGAAGGGTGCAGACCTTCCCTCAGTGAGCCTCTGCCCCTTCCAATTTCACTTAATTAACCTACCAATTTAAAGCTATATTCTTTGCCTCCTACTTTTGATCAGTGGGTGGAATTTATCTTCCAACTCAAGAACTGAAGACTGTAAGGCAATCAGACCCCACATGCAATACCCTCTCAAATGGTGTCCGTGTAGTATCTCAAAAACCTTTATAATTAACACAGTCATCTGAACCAACTGTAGCCTGCATGAGACAGAGAGATATGCCAGGAGAAAAATATGAATTTTCCAGTGTTCTGTTCCTAGTATGCTTCTTGTCACGAGTCTGACTTCTGCATTCTCTGTGGATTCTAGGCTCACTGAATCTAATTCCTTCCAAAGCTCCTCATACAAGGCAATAAACTACTGTTATACTATTCATAGTGATTCTTGGGCCTCCATTGCCCTGGTCTGGGAACCCACATTCACAGACCCCTTGTAAGTGCCATGACACTGAGCCCTATCCCCACCTTCCCGGTCCCTACCTCCTCTTGTACTCATCCCGCTCCCGCTTCACTTTGGCCAACACGTTGTAGAGTGCGCGGATCTCCGGGGTGATGGTGTCGATCTGGACGCCCACCCCATCAGGGTGCACCCACGACAGGCCAGGCCCTTGCACCAGCGTGGGCTCCAGTCCTGGCCCCAGCCGGCGGGCGTGCGAGAAGGACCAGATTGTGCCGGGCATGAAGCGGGCCGACGAGGAGAAGGCAGTGGAGGTGGAGGTGGAGGGCGACGAGTGGCAGGCCGAGGAGGGCGCGAGGGGACCGGCTGGTGAGCGCGCGGGCGAGCCCAGCACTCGCGCCGACGGGGGGCAGACCGCGGCCGGCCGGGCGCCCAGGGGCAGACCCAGGGGCCGGATGGGACTGATGAAGCCAGTTTGCACGGCCTGGTCGCGGCGAGCCAGGCCCCGACGGCCCTGCTTACCCTCCTCCAACGCCTGCTGCAGCTGCTTCTCCAGCAGCCGGTTCCGGCGCTCCAGCTCGTGCACCTTGGCCAGGAAACATCGGAACCGGAGGTTCAGGGTCTTGAGCACGTTGATGTTAGAGCCCAGGTCGTTGCGGAGTGCCATGGCGGCAGGGGGTGACGGGCCCGGGCCAGGGCCCGGCGGCGAGTAGGCTGAGGGGCCAGCGGGGGCAAGCGGCGCTGTGGGCAAGTCCCCTCCCCCGGTGAAGTGGTCACTTCCAAGGGGATCCCCCAGGGGCCCAGCCAGGCCCTGCTGCTCCTGCTGTAGGAGGAAGAGGTTGGGGCCGAATAACGGATTCATGGCTGCGCCTTCTGCTGGGAGATGGAAACCTGTGCAGGGGCTGGGATGGAGAGCGAGCGAGAAGAGCCAATGAAGTGCCTGCGGAACACAGGCGACCAATCATACGGCACGGCAAGGGAGCAGAGGTCGAGGGGGCGGGCACAAAAGCCAATGAATGCCTCACACTGGAAGATGAGCCCGAGGACCTTTCCGGGTCTGAAGCTTGTGGACCAGCTCTTCCCTCACTGAAATTCAGGCAGGAGGTGCTTAGAGCTCAGGATAGTCAATATTTCCTGAGTTCTGGTGGCAGGAAGAACTTCTTTCCTACAACCCTGTTGCTCTCCTCTCCTCAAATACCCTAGTTCTTGACTCCAAAGCTCTCCTTCCCTGTTAAGATGAAAAGAGCAGGATCCCGAAACTGACCTGGTATTTTAATATCTCCCAACTGTTTTTTTTCCCTTTGGATCCCAGACCCACCCTCCCTCCAGCTGCCATAACCAGTCCCCTCAAAAACACACACACACAAAAAAGCAACTGGAGTCAGAGGTGGTAAAATGTATATTAAATTTCATGTGTATGCACAATAAAATTGCACAATGTGCAAGCAACCTTGTAGACAAACAGTTCCAACCACTGGCAATGCCAGTGAGCCAAGCCCAGTCCAGTCTTCAACACCCACCTAAGCCAGCAGTGGCTGGCTATTGCCCTTAGGCACAGTTTTCCTCTTCTTTGCTGGTGGGGGCTGGACAGAATTGAGGGGAGTCCCAGTCGGGATCTGAGATCCCTTGGGGGTGCCATTCTCCTTCTGAAAGGTAGCTTTCTTGAAAGGCTGCTTCACCTTCTCGTCCCCTTTTACTTTTCCAAGGGGCTGATCGGTGTCCTTAAGTCTGGGGGTAGCCTGAGTCTGAGAAAGGGACAGTGTAACAGGTGATTCTGTGTCCATGCTTTTGGGAGGGGCATTCTGCTTCAGGAAGGCAGCTTTCTTAGAGGAGAGCAATTTAGGTGCCTGTTGCCTTAGCCTCCCAATCACCTTTGGTTTCCTGATCACTTCAACTTTTCCAGCAGGCTGAGTGCTATCTGGGAGCCTGGAGGAAGCTTGGGCCTTTGTGACAGAAGGTACAGYGGACACTTCTGAGACTGTGCCTTTGGTGATGCCATTCAGCTTCTGTACAGAGGCGTTCTTGGGATGCTGCCGTTTCTGGAACTGCTTTGCCTTTGCAGCCCTTTTGGCTTTCTTGGCTGGTTGGCTGTTGTTCTCAGACTTGGGAGTGACCTGACTCTTTGGGTCAGGCAAGTCTAGGTCTGTAGGAGTGGCTGTTGCAGAATTTCCTGGGGTTAAAATTAAACAGACAGGTTGAGAAAATGGGCCTCATCTTAAATGATATTGGTCATTTAAGAAGTAAAGAGTAGGGCTGGGATTGTGGCTCAGAGGTAGAGCACTCGCGGGACGTGGGTTCGATCCTCAGAACCACATAAAAATAAAGGCATTGTGTTGTGTCCATCTACACCTAAAAAAATATAAAAAAAAAAAAAAAAGAAAGAAAGAAGTAGTAAAGAGTAGAGATGGGCATGGTGGCACATGCCTGTTATCTCAGCAGCTCCAGAGGATAAGGCAGGATTGCGAGTTTAATGCCAGCCCAGCAACTTACCCCTAAGCAATTTAGCCAGAGCTCACCTCAAAATTTAGGGGGAAAAAAAAAGGTCTGGGATTCAGTGGTTGAACCCCTGGTTTCAACCCCTAATGCAAAAAATAAAATAAAAATAAGAACAAGTTATTAAAACATAGAGATTGCCAACTCTTGGTCAATGTGGAGCCACAGTTAGGGATGGTGCCTAAGAACTGACTACCTAGATTCACATCATTCTTACTCAGGTCCTACATGAACCTTATATTAAGAGAAACCAATCCTAGGGGGTGGGGTTGTGACTCAGTGGTAGAGCGCTCACCTAGCACGTACGAGGCCCTGGGTTCAATCCTCAGCACCACATAAAAATAAATAAATAAATAAAAGTATTGTAATCACCTACAACTAAAAAATAAATGATTTTAAAAAAGGGCTGGGGCTATGGCTCAGCGGTAGCGCACTTGCTGGGAATGTGTGAGGCACTGGGTTCGATTCTTGGCACTACATAAAAATAAATAAAATAAAGGTACTGTATCCACTTACAACCAAAAAATAAATATTTTTAAAAAGAAAAAAAAGAAGCCTATCCTTAGGCTAAAGATTTTTTATAAGAAGCTGTGCCCCCTTGAGGACAGCAGGTAACAAGACCTCCTGATGTGGTGCTGCGTCCCAGGATCTCCAGATTCAGATAAACCAGAAGCCCTAGGCTTTTTTAATCCCAGAAAAAAAAAATTTCATCAATGTGGATTTTGATGAAATGGCAGAAAATAAGCTACACCCACACAACAAGAAACAAGCTAGTAAGACAACAACAAAGACATATTAAAAATACACTTAAGTTACAACAAAAGTTGCTATTAATGTTTTGGTTTTTTGCAGTATTAGGGCTTGAACCCAAGGACTCTTAACCACTGAGCCACATCCCAGCACTACAACCACCCCTATTTTTCAGTACTGGGGATTGAACCCAGGACCTTGTACATATATATATACAAGGCAAGCATTCTACCAACTGAGCTATATATCCCAGTCCTTTTTATTTTTGAGACAGGGTCTCACTAAACTGTTGAAGGTGGTTTTGAATTTACAATCCTCCTACCAAACCCTTGGGATTAAAGGTGTGCACCACTGCACCTGGCAACCTTGCTTTTTACTTTGAGGCAGGGTCTCACTAAGTTGCCAGGGCTAGCCTCAAACTCAGGATCTTCCTGTCTCAGCCTTCGAACTCACTGGGAGTACAAGATTGTACCACCATGCCAGGCTATGTTGACATTCTGATGAGAGTTTTGCAAGAGACTTTATTTATTTCTGGTTTGGGCACTGGGAATTGAACCCAGGAGTGCTTAACCACTGAGCCAGATCCCTAGTCCTTTTTATTTTGACAGTGTCTCACTAAATTGATTAGGGCCTCGATAAATTTCTAAGTCTGGCTTCGAACTTGTGATCCTCCTACCTCAGCCTCCAAATTGCTGGGATTACAGATATGTGCCACCTTGCCTGGCAAGAGGCATTATTTAAAAGGATTAAAAAAAAAAAAAAAAGGTCTGGGGGTGTATCGGATATCAATTCAAATCAGTTTTTATTTGAAGAAGTTCTTCTGTCTTCCAAATAAACTCAGGTTTATATCCCAGCATGCAGAGCTCTCAAGCCTGTTTCAAAAATAAAACCCCACCCTTCCCCTTGAGATGCAGACAGCCTCCTCCAGATGGCTGAGGAAACAATCTGCAATTAGTGGGATAGGCTCAGAGAAATGCTGATAGTTCCGTAGAGTCCTGTGCCAAACCAGTGCTGAGAATGCTAGAGCAGCAGAGATACATTAACACAAGTCAACCTTGGGCCAAGAAAAAAAGAAAAACCACAACCTGAAACTGGAATGCATTAGTGCTGAACCACTGTAGCCACTTGGTAGAATAAAGGAAAAGTTCCCCATCTATGTGAACACCAAAGCCCATCAAAATGGGGTTCCAAATCCAAGCATGCAAAGACTGAGATAAGCAAGCCTCAATCTTTCCCTTCCCTGCAGTCACACCAGAAGGCTTCCAGAAAGGTAGAAAGAGCAAAAGCAGGAAAGATCTGGACAAAGAACAGATCATTTACCTGTTTGGGACTGAGGGATAGAATTGGAGAATTTCTTGAACTTGGCAATAAAGAAACCATCCATATTGTGGGTATGAGGGTAAAATCGTCGGGTGGAACGCAGAGTGGGATGGAAACGCCTTTCTCGAAAACGGGTAAAACCTTCCTGGCCAAAGTCCAGGCCGGTGGGCACAAGCCTCACATTTCTCTTTTTCAGGGCATAGTCTACTACCCACTCATTCTCTTCCACCTGGACGTGTGGGGAAGACAGAAAGTCAGCAAGAAGGAATAAACAGAGCTGGAGCTGAAGGGAGCTCTTAGGGCCATACAAACTCCCAGCCCTTGCCCTCCCTTGCTCTGCCACAGCAGAGGCCTCACCATAATAGAACAGGTGCAGTAGACGAGGTAGCCTCCTGTCTTAGAAGTGGCATTGACAGAGTCAATAGCACTCAGGAGTAACTCTTTCTGAAGGTGAGCACAGCGCAGGATGTCCTTCTCATCCTGTCCCAAAAAGACCCAGGGTTGAGGGAATTTCATAAGGCTATCAAAAGTGAGATACTTACCTGCCTAGGGTGCTCCTTGACCTTGTACTCCTCTCTAAAATTACCCAACTTCTCACCTTGTTAGTCTTCACAGCTGGATCCTTAGAGATGACCCCAGTGCCACTACAGGGAGCATCCAGCAATACTCTGTCAAAGCCCCCGACCACCTAGACAAAAGAGGGAGTAAATTAGATGTATTTTGCAACTTGCAGTGTACCATTTATTTCCCAAGGATGGGTCTAAACATTGTCAAGAAGAGAAAGGTAAATTAGAAGCCTCAGGAAAGACACACAGAAGGAAAATCCCACCTTGGGGAACTGTCGTCCATCATAGTGGCTAATGATGGTGTTAATGACTCCCAGCCGGTGCAGATTACCCACAACACTCTTCAGCCGCACAGCATTGGCATCATTGGCAAGGATCACACCAGTGTTTTTCATCAGTTGGGCTATAGAAGAGAGGACCCCAGTGCTGAGGAGCCAGCTCCTTTGCTTCCACACTTGGTACCCACCCTCCAGACTAGAAACCCACAGGTGAAATCTCACTACTTCAAGGCAAACTCCCCTCCCAACAAGAACAGTTCCCAACTGCCTACCAGATAGCTCTACCCAACCTGTACTGGCTTCTGGTGCCGAGGAAGCCTACCAATACAGTTTTCCTCTTTCACTGAACATCTTTCTGTCCCTACAGACTAAATTACTTCTGTTACGTGATATAGCTCAACCTAATGGTTGTGACTGCTTTCTACACACTAAATACTGTGCTGAGGACTTCAAAATGCATCATGTCAACCTTTGCAACACAAGGATAATGGCCAATCCAAGCACAATTAAAAATCATTTTATGAATAGCTAGAGAATCAAAAGCTTGCCCTAAGTCAGATGGGTTTTAAGTGGCACAACTGACACTGGGGCCCAAGCCAACTCCAGAAACTGCTTCTCACCTCTGCTAGCTGCCTATACTCTGAGTTCCAAAAGCACTAGATAAATCACCAATCCTACTTTCAAAAGAATTAGATAAAGCTCATCCCAAACTACCATTCTCATACCTATGTAGCTGGTCTTTCCTCCAGGGGCACAACACATGTCCAAGATCCGCTCATGTTCCTGCGGCGCCAAGGCCATGACAGGCAACATGCTGGAGGCTCCCTGCAACATGTAGTGTCCAGCCAGGTATTCAGGAGTAGCACCTGTGGAGGAGGACCATCTTGTGATATGCTGGGACAAGGACAAGAGCAGAAGGGCTATTGGGCAGGGGACACCTACCAATGGGCACTGAAGAATCATATATAACGAGTCCAGTCTTTGACCACTTGCCCAAGGGATCCAAGTTAACCCCACGATTGATCAAAGCCTAAAGATAAAAAGGATGAATATTTGAAGACTTCACAGGCTACTCTACTCAGAAAACAGAAATATGAAAACCTGGTCCTACCAATAGGTTCATGGCACAATTTCTATAATGCTCACTCGTGAGAGCCAACAAAGACTCACGGGGTAGCTTCTTCCCCTCATCCTATCCCATGATGCCCATTTTTCTTTTACTTTCTTTTTGTTTTTAGAGTGATAAAGAATGACCCAGAACCTTGTACATGCTAGGCAAGTGCTCTACCACTAGGCTAATTCTGCCCCCTGCATTTTTTATACATATATACCTTTATTTTATTTATTTTTATGTGGTGCTGAGGATCCAACCCAGGGCCTCGCACGTGCTAGGCAAGCGCTCCACCGAGCAAAACCCCGGTTCCCCTGCACTTTTTTCTTAACCTCAGGCTCCTAACTCAAGGTCTGAACTCCATCCCAATGCAGCAGACTATTGTCTCCTGTTCCTTCACTTCTGAGAAGTGGACTCTGATTTTCCAAGAGGTGTAGACCCTTCTCACACTAAAATTTAATGTTACTGTTTACAGAATATTAAAGATAGTTACTGGGTTATCTTTCTACCAGGAGACATACAATTCACAAGACCAAGCTTTAATACAGGAGGCTTTAATCTGGGGTCTCCAAATCCTTGGAAATAGTTTAAAACATTTTATACTACATGCAGTGGTGAATACTTGTAATCCCAGCTACCTAAGAGGCTAGGGCAGAAGGATAGCAAGTTCAAGGCCAGCTTGGTCAACTTAGTGGTACCTTGTCTCAAAATAAAGAAAGGACCAAGCACGGTGGCACATGTCTATAATACCTGCACTCAGAAGGCCAAGGCAGGAGGTCACAAGTTTGAGACCTGCCTCGGCAACTTAGCAAGACTCTGTCCCAAAATAAATAAAAAAGAGTGGAAATGTGGCTCAGTGATCAAGTGTCCCTGGTTTCAATTCCCAATACTGTAACAAATACATGAACAATTAATATCAATGTGTATGTATGCCTTTTTCTGAGGACAAGTATGTTTCTTCAGCTTCTCAATAATCTTCTTCCAATTTCTTTAGAAGGCAATCATTTACCCTGATGCAGATGTCTCATCTGAGTCACAGGGAGAGAGTTTAGAAGGATGAATTCTTCATTTCAGAGGTCCAGGCCCTCAGCCTGTCTGACAGTCACTAGGTTTGCTTCCTGGGATTGTGTTTACATTAAGATACTCTTAGGTCCTGGAGGCTGGGGAGATACCTCAGTTGGTACAGTGCTTGCCTTGCCCTGGGTTCAATCCCCAGCACCACACACAAAAAAAGATACACTTAGGTCCAAAGAATCCACCCAGTCAGGATGCAATAGGGAAGCCCCACAATTAGCAAAGGTTGGTCCCTCTCTGAGATATACAAACCCTCACCTGAGCAAGGTCTCTACGCCGGGTTTTCAAGGTATTGGTCCGGAGGGTGATGGGCCGAGGCACCTCATTAGCTTCTAAAAACTCTATCAGCTAGGTTGGAAGACAAGATATTAAGGACTAAGGCTAGCCAAGAAACAGACCAAGAGAGGAAACAGGACATCTCCCCAAATGTCCTATTCACACAAGAAGGTTAAATAAAAAAGAGAGAGAAGAGGCATTAGATTGTCTCAGCACCTCAGACAGAGGGAAGAGTTCCATGAGCTTGCCAAGCAGGAAGTCTCCATAGGAGTAATACGTGGCCAGATCCTTCTGAAGCCGATTCAGATATTCAGAACGAGACCGACCTTCTTCCCGCTGAGCCCCAAAATCCCGCAACACTCCCACTATATCCTGAATCCGCTTGTGAACTCGTTGCAAGTCTGGAGCATGGGCATGTGGGCCTGTTAAGGAACTGCTTCATGAAGTCCTAGGGCTGGGAAAACCCCCCTCCTCTCCCAAGCACCTTCCTCCTACCCTCACCCAGCACTGGAAGGATATCCTGCTCCATCTCCCCAGCAGGGGGCAGCACAAATGGCTCTTCCCCATCCACATTGATCTGCAGGCCCCCATCTGCCTCCTCATCCTTTGTGGGGCCTGACAGAGGGGACACTTCCCCCTCTTCCTCTTCATCAGTCTCCTCACTCCACTGGCCCCTAGAAAGAAGTCCAGAAACAGTGATTCAGAGACCAAAACAGACACCTCCTCCTTCCTCATAGCCTCCTCCACCCCAGCTGCTGCCTATCCTCCATCCTAACAGTTTCCAAAACTCACCCAACAGCAGCTTCCTGAGCCTTCTGCTTCTGAGCAGCTCTTTCAATGGGCAGCAACTAAAAAGAGAGATGAGGAGCTGGTAACACAAGCCCATACCACCTCTTCCAACATCCCATGTTATTTTACTTTTCACTAAATATAAACCCAGAGTTGGGGCTGGGACTCTGTGGTAGAGCGCTCACCTGGCACGCGTGAGACACTAGGTTTGATCCTCAGCACCATATAAAAATAAAATAAAGGTATTATGTTCACCTACAACTAAAAAAAAAAATTTAAACCTAACACTTGCTTTCAAAAACAAATATACAGGCTGAAGAATAAGATTTAACATAGGGACTGGGTATAGATCAGTGATAAGAGTGCTTGGAAAGAAAGAACGAAAAGAGGGAAGGAGGAAGGAACGTAAAGAATGGATGGACAGGGGCTGGGGATGCGGCTCAAGCGGTAGCGCACTCGCCTGGCATGTGTGGGGCCCGGGTTCAATCCTCAGCACCACATACAAAGATGTTGTGTCTGCCGAAAACTAAAAAATAAGTATTAAAATTCTCTTTCTCTAAAAAATAAATATTAAAATTCTCTTTCTCTCTAAAAAAAAAAAAGAATGGATGGACAAGGCTGGGGATGTGGCTCAAGCGGCAGTGCGCTCACATGGCATGCGCGCGGCACTGGGTTAGATCCTCAGCACCACATACAAACAAAGATGTTATGTCCATCGGAAACTGAAAAATATTACAAAATTCTCTCTCTTCTCTCTTAAAAAAAAAAAAAAGAATGGATGGACAGATTTGACATGACACGAGTCATTTTAAACAATGAATTAAAAGGGCTCATTACACTTTTCTTTCTACTTTTGTTTATTTCCCTTAAAAAAAAATTTTTTTTGGTTGTAGATGGACACATACCCTTTTTCATTTATTTATTTTTATGTGACGCTGAGGATTGAACCCAGTGCCTCACATATGTTGAGCAAGTGAGGTACAGCCCCAGCCCCATGTGTTTCTTTTTTTGATTAAGAAAAAATTTGAAGCTGGCACACACATGTAATCCCAGCAACTTGGGAGGCTGAGGCAGGATGGATAGCAAGTTCAAAACTCAAAACCAGCCTCAATAACTTAACGAGGCCCTAAGCAACCCTATCTCCAAAAAAAAAAAAAAAAAAAAAAAAAACAGGCAGGGGATGTGGCTCAGTGGTTAAGCACCCCTGGGTTCCATCCCTAGTAAATAAATAGCCACGTGTATAAACAGGAACAAAAACTGCCCTTGGGTACCATTTTGCCATATTTTCTTCCAGATTTACTCTACATCTTTCACATAGCTCAAATCACAATGCATTTTCAAATTTATTTTTTAAATTTAGTTAGATCATAAGTATATTCATAGACATAACCACTAATTTAATTAACCATATGCATAAACCATAATCCACTGAACATTTTAGAAGTTTCCAGAGTTTGGGGCATTTTGATCCACGTGGTACTTGCAAACCTGATAACTGCAGACAAAAGAGGGCTGTGAGATAGAATGCAAAGGCCTCTGTTTTTTATTTTAACAATTCTCTATCAAGTTTTTCTAATATATACTAATTGTGTAACTTTTTTTAAGAGAGAGAGAGAGAGAATTTTTTTAATATTTAATTTTTAGTTTTCGGCAGACACAACATCTTTGTTTGTATGTGGTGCTGAGGATCGAATCCGGGACACATGCATGCCAGGCGAGCGCGCTACCGCTTGAGCCACATCCCCAACCCTTAACTTCTTGCACCTCATAAAAAAAACTTTGCAAGGGCTGGAGTTGTGGTTCAGTGGTAGAGCGCTTTTCTTGCACATGTGAGGCACTGGGTTCGATCCTCAGCACCACATAAAAATGAATAAACAAAGTAAAGATATTGTGTCCATGTATAGCTAAAAAATATTAAAAAAAAAAAACCTTTGCCTACATTTGGAGTACTTTTTTTTTTTGAGTACTTTTTAAAACAGGGAAGTACTAGGTCAGAAGAAAGAAACTTTTTTTTGAAATACTGAGACAGAGTCTCATTATGTTAACCAGGCTGGTTTCTAACTATTGGATCTAAGTGATCCTCCTGCCTCTGAAACTATGGGCATACACCACCGTACCCAGCCTCAAAGAAACTTTTTAAAATTCTCAGGTAAAAATTGTTTTATTAAAAATGTATGCATGGCATTTGACACCCAGATAGTGATTATAAAGCACAAATCCATCATCTGCCCAGGGTATATTGAGGAAGTCCAAATAACAAGTCTTAATCTGCTTGGTAGACGACAAAAAAAATCAGGGGGAAAAAAAGTAAGACTTGACCCTGTTTTGTGAAACAAGATCAAGTATGCATTGCCCGCTTAAGGACAGCAGAAACCGTCTGCCTTGAGACCTTTAAAGRCTCCCCTCAAATGGGTCGTTTTACTTTAAGAGATGAGGATAAGACCATTACAATTGGAAAAGTTCTGAAACTGGTTCCCGAGAAAGATTACATTTTCTTGATGACCCTGCACAATACTGTGAGGAAAAAAATTGACTGCAAAAGACTACTTCACACTGCCTTCTCTTATTTTCTGCCCATTGATAAACTTCTTCCCATATTTTGCAAAGAGAAATTCACAGCAAAAGTCCACATTATGTCAGCTTTCTCATATTGAGAGCTCTGCTATGCCACTGTGGAATTTATCCCAAGATCTCCCCCTTCCCTTTTCAAACTCTGCTTCCTTGGACAGATTTGGCAATAGCTTTTTAAGTGATGTGGACATAATTGCCTACAATAATGAAAACAGGAATTTTTTTATTTTTCATTTTCCCCTTAGCCTCTTTTCCCCAGGAAGATCATTCTAAGTGTGAGAGTGTGTGTGCACCATGTTACAAAGACAACTACCATGTTAATAAAATATTCCATTTGGAAAAAAAAAAAGAAATTTATGTATAGGGCTGGGGTTGTGGCTTAGCGGTAGAATGTTCTCCTAGAGCGTGTGAGGCGCTAGGTTCCACCCTTAGCACCACATAAAAATAAGTAAGTAAAATAAAGGTATCATGTTCAAATACAACTAAAGAAATAAAAATAAATTTTAAAAGTATGTGCATGTCTAGTCCCATAAATGGTGTATGCTCACCAGCAATGAACATTCTCATTTTTAAAAAATGCTCTGTAGGCTGGGTGCAGTGGCACGCATCTGTAATCCCAGTGGCTTGAGAGGCTGAGGCAACATGATCAACAAGTTCAAAGCCAGCCTCAGCAAAAGCAAGGCACTCAACAATTCAGTGAGACCCTGTCTCTAAGTGGTCGAGCACCCCTGAGTTCAATCCCTGGTACCTTAAAAAAAAAAAAAAAAAAAACTCTGTTTTACAACTCTTTCAAACTTGTGCATGCATTGAGAGAGAACATAAAGAAGCAGGAGGGAAACTATAATCTAAGGAGCACTACATCCCTTTAGTCAGGTTGTCCTTGTCATTGGAAGAACAGTCTCAAGAATCTGGAAAGAAACTGAAAGGTAAAGCTTTTTTTCTGAATACACAGAAAAGTGAATCTCACCTTTTCACCTTCATCCTCTGAGTTGGAGTCAGCTCCATAGTCATCTACCATATCGGTATCACTGTCCTCAGAGTCCCAGAGGTTCCCCTGGTTCACAACACCATCTTCTTCAGAGACTTCCTCATCCTCTTCCTCATCACTACTATGGTCTGGTGCTAGGCGTTTCTTGCCTCGACCAACATTAAATAAGGACTGAGCACCCTTCTTATCAGGTGTCTGGACCACTCCTGCAAAGATGCCCAACGGTTTAAAGAATCCTGGTCTAATGGCAACCACACTCCCCTGCCCACACCCGAACTCAGTACTTTTTACCCACAGAATGTCTTTTAGCTATTCCTCTCATTCCAAAAATGCTCAGCAAGTACCTCTCAACCAAAGACCCTGAAGACTCTTCATATGGCACCAAGCTTCTATTTTCACTGACCTTTTGGTAGCTTTCCAGACAATGGTTTGGCCCCAGAAGACTTATAAGTTTTAAGGACTTCAACAGACCCAAACCTCCTCTTGGCTGCTCTGAAAAGATATAACAAGTAAGTAAATGGAAACATCTCCAGACTCTACCGCCTCCCATTACAGGGAAATTTAACTGTTTACAATTAGCCCTCTCCCTCAACCTATTCCAAGTGGCTAAAGACAAGCAGCCCCAATTTAATCTCTGTAAGTTTGGACATCTATACTTACCTCTTTCGAGCACGACTAGACAGCCTCTTGGAATTTTCATCACCAGCTGTTAAAAAAAGGCAAATAGAGGGTTATAGAAAAAAAGAAAGAAATGGGAGCAAAACTAAAAGCATAAAAGATTAGTACACTAAGGAGATGGCTGGGTGTGGCTCCATGAATAGCACACATACTTAGCATGTTAGAAGTGCTAGGTTAGATCCTCAGCATGGCAAGATAAATAAGTAAATAAAATAGCTTAACTCACTTCATAGACCTTTCCTAGGCACTGGATAAAAGATGTAAATGAGGGGCTAAAAGTACAATTCAGCGGTAAAGCATGTGCTTAGCATACACCATTAATTCCATCTCCACCACCAAACAAACACAAAAAGTGATGGGAGATGAAGCATCATGTGATCATTCAGTAACCAAATCTAAACTGGGCCTTCCTCCAGGTTTCAATAACAGCATCACATCACCATCCTGATTGTTCAAAATTTATCTTTTCTCCTGCCCTATTCTTTACTCTCAGCTTATTCAGTTACCAACTACAGTGCCTTTTAACTTCGTTAATGCTTTTTTCTTTTTACATATTCTCCCAAGACTTAAAAGGCACAAATTTAGGGGCTGGGGATGTGGCTCAAGCGGTAGCGCGCTCGCCTGGCATGCAAGCGGCCCGGGTTCGATCCTCAGCACCACATACCAACAAAGATGTTGTGTCCACCGAGAACTAAAAAATAAATAGTAAAAATTCTCTTTAAAAAAAAAAAAAAAAAAAAAAAAGGGCACAAATTTCAGTGTGGAAATCACTTAACTTCTCAGCATGCACTCACAGGACTTTAAGATAATGAATTGATACCGTGTATCCAAACAGTTCAGAGTAGTGCCTAGAATTTGTGAATACCTCAATATACTCCACCTTTTACCTAAGAGATGACAGAAATTACCTGTGCAGCGGTGTCTTCCACCAGTCCTCCATAATAGAGACCACTCAACAAGTCAGAATCACCCATGCTTTCCCATTTCTGTCCCTTCCATCAGGCAATTCAATGACTGGGCCATTCTCCTCCCCAACTCCCACTTGCTAAATTTTTTTTKGGGGGGGGGTACTGGGAATTGAACCCTGAGGCTCTTTACCCAGGAGCCACATCCCCAGTCCTTTTAACTTATTTTTATTTTGAGACAGGTCTAAGTTGCTGAGACTGACCTCATATTTACAATCCTCCTGTCTCAGCTTCTCCAGTCACTGGGATTACAGGCCTGTGCCACCCAGCTATGTTACCTATTTTTCAAAATCCACTTAACAAAAACCTAAATTATTCAGAAGATCCCGCTTCCTCTGAACTTTCACAATGTTAAACAACACCTCTCCCTGCGTGAGTACTGTATCCCTGTTGCATCTTCTAAACACTGATGACAGTGTTCTGTTCATACTTACTTCCTAATAACTCATACAAAAATGTCAGACCTGAACAGAGAATGAATGCAGATTTAAAAGGGAACAGGATTAAAATACAGAATAATTCAAAAGCCGGGGAACCAGGGGTCTATGACACTTACCTGCAGGCAAGAACCTGACCAGTTCTGTCTCAGCACCTTTTTGTTTTCTAGCCTTTCGGCCTGGACCACGCTTCTCCTTCGTAGGATCCAACTTGCGCCCCATGGTACTGAACAAAAAAGGAAGAAGGCGGAATTACGCACAATGAAAAAGGATCAGGGACATAGGCCTGGCGATGCGAGAGTGGATAAGGGCATTCCGACGGCCTCCTCCAGGCCGCAACAAAACACCCCTTACCAGCCCCCGACCCTGCGCTCTCTCCCCAGGACCCAGCCCACGTTCATGTCGGAAAATCCACCCTTCGTTCCCTGAATTCCTACAGGAAATTCACCTACAAGAAAAGCACCTGAAGCTTTGGTTTACTGATAGGTAGGTTCAAGCCCAAAACGCAACCTCGCAGCGTTGCGCCGCTCCACGTGCACCCCGTAGGCGTTCTTATCCACCAGCTGCGGAAGCGTCTTACGCAGGCGCGCGGGGCGTCTGCGCGACTCCGCCTCTTCCGGCCAAAGCACCGGAACCGGTGCCCGCTTGGGGACGTGCGGACTGGCTGACTGGTGTCGGTTTCCCCCACGCATAGGGTTACTTGACAGTTCCCGACGTGACATCCTCTCCCTCCCTCGCCTTTTTGGTTTTTTGCTACACGCCGGATTGCATTCGGAAAAGCGGCCCCTCCTCCTCAAACCAGGGAACAACAATGAGCCCGCCCTGACATCCTTTGCCCTACATCCAGCCTCAAGATTATGGAATCCCATGCCACTTTCTCCCAACCCTTTGACTAGGAAGCCCTTTTCCTTTTGGACGCCAGAATTCCCCGCCCCAGGTAAGACTTGACCCTCAGCCTGGGTTCACATCAGGTCAGGGAAGAGACTTCAGCCACGTTGTCACTCACCATGAAACAAAAATCTACTCAGTCTTCCTTCAAATTAACGAGTACACTAGGTTTTAGAAATTTTTAATGCTGGGGTAATATAGCTCAGGAGTAGAGCCACTTGCATAGCATGCAGGAGGCCCTGGGTTCAATCCCCTGCATTTTTTTTAGTGCCATTCCAAGCACCTTATTAGTTTCATCTTCACACCCTATAAGGTAGGTATACTTACAGATACAAAATCTTGGCCCAGGGAAGTTAAAACCACCTGCTCAAGGTCAAAGAGCCATGAAGTGGTGCAGGCAGATTTACAGCCTGGATTTCTACAGGTGCTTATTCTTGGTTCTGAGCATAGGGGGCACACTGATGGATGGATGGACGGACACGGACACACACCCACACACCCAAGGCTCTTCAGGGATGAAGCAACCCTTTTCAACTACATAGTTCCTGGGCCTCCTACCATATGGACACACTCTTCTATCTTCTACCTGCACCTACACCCACACTGAACCAGAGCACTAAAATACAAGGAAACTTTTATTTTCGATTTTCATGAAGAAATTTGTTGTGGTTTTTTTATGCTTTTGGTTCTTTTTCTTTTTTTTTTTTTTTTTTCCACTTTATTTTAGCCGCTCAGTGGCTGGAGCCGCTGGGTTCCTGGTATTAAAAAGATGCCAACAGAGGTAGCTGTGTCTCGCCCAGGGGCCCGGCCCACTCTGAATACCCCAAAAAGGGAGAAAAGAAAACTTAAAAATAAACCAACAAAATAAAACCAAAAGGAGGAAGAAATTCAGATCATTTTCTTCAAGCCTGGCAGGAACCCACAACAGTTTGTGTGTAACAGACGTTACAGTGGGAAGAAGCCAGGGTCCAAAAGAAGGCCAGCCAGCCAGCTCCCTGCAGATGGCGCCGGCGCTACTGCTGCTTGTCTCTCCAGCAGGAAGGGCACCACTGCCCCTCACTCCCTCCCCTCCCCCAGGACATGGGGGCTGTTCCTTTACAACATGAAGATGGGCAGAAGGTCAAGAGTCTCTCAGGCCCCCAAGGGAGAAGCTGGGACAAGAGAAAGTGAGGAAGGTCACTGCTCAGCGGTGGAGGTGGTATCCTCAATCCAGATCTTCACTGTTGCTGGGCTACCTATAGTGAAAGAGAGCCAAGAGTCAGAATTTGAATCCACCAGATAGCAAGGGAGCTCACTGACAGGGCAGAAGTAAAGGTAGGAACAAAGACTAAAGTTAAAATTTCCAGAATGGTTCTGTGAGAAGAGCTGGTAGGGTAGAAATTTTCCTACCTGCTGTGGGGGAGGTTCTGGTGCCCGATTCGCCAGGCGGCTGAGAATGTTACGCTCTGACATCTGTAACCTCACAGCAACTGGGGGAATTCGGGCAATGGTAGCTGGGAGTCGAGTCACATCAGCTTTCATGTCACTTAGCAGTTCTTCCAATTGTTTCAGAACTGCAGAGGGAATAAAGAAGTGGTGAGCTGTGGTGATCAACATGAAGATCCTTCTACCCTAGTGGACCAGACCACACACTACAATGACCAAGTGACTGTAATGTGTTGCTGTCTTTTGTTGAATCACCTGACCTGACCACCAACCACGCTCAAATTTCCTACTCCTCACACACTAGGTTCCATTTTGTCCATGATTCTGGTTTTTGTACTGGGGATTTGCTCTATCACTGAGCTACACCCCCAATCCTTTATAGTCTTGAGATAGGATCTTGCTACATTGTCCAGGCTGGACTCAAATTTGCCTCAGCCTCCCACCTCCTAAATCTCTGGGATTACAAGTGTACCACTATGTCTGGCTGATCCTCTGCTTCTTTTAAGTCACCTAACATTCATTATCCCTTGCTTTCTATTATCTGTATTTTCTCCACTTCTTGAGAAAAGCTTATTCTTACTGTTTCATCTTCACACTTATCTCACCTCTCTACCTTCTCCTACTTCCTTTATAAACAACCTTCTTTTCCTTACTTCACCCTCTACCTCCTCATAATGTTCTACGTTAATTAGAAATAAATGTTGAGGGGCTGGGATTGTGGCTCAGCGGTAGAGCACTTGCCTATAACGTGCAAGGCCCTGGGTATGATCCTCAGCACCACATATAAATAAATAAATTAAATTAAGGTACTGTGTTCATGACAACTAAAAAAATATATTTTAAAAAAATGTTGAAAGGGGTTTAGAATTTGATGGCATTTCAAATCACCTGAAATTACTTCTAAAGTATCCCAGATGATACTCTATTATATTCTGCTTTGCTATCTCAAGAATAATGAATATATTAAATGAGGCAAAGAATTACTGTCCTTGACTATCTCTAAGGCAAAGATCCTCAACATATCCTAAGCTCCTGACAAGCAGGCTCTGAAAAAGGTTTGGGAACAAGAAGCATATGGATTTGGGGAGGATTTAGTGGAGAGGGGAGACTCAATCAATAGGAGGCAGGAGAGCCACTGACTACCTTTGTGCAGGACTGCATTGGCTGGCTTGTTTCCTGCCATCGACTCCTTGGACAGGTGCTGGTGACTTTCTGCCAAACACTCCACCTCAGCAAAGCGGGTATTTAGGGCCATGGAAGGGTGAGAAGGGTCCTCTGACATGTTCAGGTAAGCCGCCCGACGCAGCTGCTCCTCAATCACCAGGGCTTGTTCTAAGAGCTGAACAGGGACAAACAGGAGATGGGAGTTAACTTACATTTTGTTCATTTCTAATGGGCCTCTCAGCTCACCTCTTCCTATAGGTCACGAGAACCTACAAAGACCTTCAGGGATGGCTCCTCAATACCACTCCTCACACTCAAGCAGTTCCAACATTACATTGTCTTTTTCATCCCCATTGAAGAGCCATGTTTTTACCAACTCTTTAGATTGTCTTATACAAAAATGATTTTTTTAAAAATTTTTTAAATTCAATTTAAGAAAATACAGAATGGGGCTGGGGTTGTGGTTTAGTGGTAGAGTGCTCACCTAGCACATGCAAGGCCCTGGGTTCCTCAGCACCACATACAGTAAATAAAAGTATCGTGTCCAACTACAACTAAAAAATAAATATTTAAAAAAATACAGAATGTATAAGAAACATTCTGGTGTTTTTCTTTCAGGATTTTCTATGTATTCCTTTTTTACATAATTAAGGTTATATTATATACACATCCATGTGAGCATCTTTATCATTAACCACTTCGCGGGGGTGGGGGGGCAGTACTGAGGATTAAACCTAGAGGGCAATTTATCATTGAACTATGTTTATCCAGCCCAGTTTATTTACTGAGATAGGATTTAAGTTGTCCCAGCTGGCCTAGAATCTGGATCCTCCTACCTCAGCCTCCCTATCTGGGAATAACCTGGACTACAGGCACAATCCACTAGTGGTGCCTAGTAAAAAGAATTTTTTAATGGTTGCATGGTAATCCATCCTATAGATTTATCTGCCATATCATTTAGGTTCTTCTGCTCCTAAAAATATTTTGTTAGGAGCACATTGGTTGCATGCCTATAATCCCAGCAACTCAGGAGGCTGAAGCAGTAGAATTCCAAGTTTGATGCCAACTTAAGCAATTTGGTGAGATCCTGTCTCAATAAATAAAAACTAAAAAGTTTTGTCGGACTAGAGAAGTATAGCTCAGTGGGAGAGTATGTGTTTATTAGTACACACAGCACTAAGTTTGATCCCCAGAGAATACACATTTTTGTTGTTTATTTCCTTTTATCTCCATATCTCATTTCTATTCCTTCCTCCTCCAAAGGGCAACTCTCTAATATATGTACTTTGCCTTTTTTCTGTGCTGTTAAAGTCCAAGAGTTATTGCTCATTTTCATATTGGTTTCTGTATATATAAAATGCTTTTTCTTACTTGTTAAAAGTTTCATTTATGTTGGTACATGCTTTTTTTTTTTTTTTTTTTTTGCTTCTGTTGCATGAGTATGCACTTTTACCTATCCGTTTTCCCAATGTGGAACATTAAGGTTGTCTCTAGGCCTCTTCCACCAAAAACTCATACTGTGTTGGAACACTCTTACGCTTGCTGCCTGATGGAGCTGTGTAAAAGTTTGTTTGAAATACATTTCAAGAGGCAGAATGTTGGTTCCTGAGTTACAGTAAGTATCCACTGGTTAAAGACAGTAGATTCATTAAGAAGACAGTATGAGTCAGGTAGGGTGATACATGCCTATAATGCCATCTATCTGGTAGGATGAGGCAGGAGGATTCCAATTGAGGCCAGCCTCAACACCTTAGCAAGACCCTGTCTCAAAATTTTTTAAAAATAAAGGGCTGGAGATATAGCTCAGTGATAGAGCACCCTAAGTTTGATCCACATAATACACAAACACATACACACACACAAAAAAAAAAAAAAAAATTAAAATGGGCTGTTGTTTCTCTCATAAGACTTGGCCTAATTTATCCCCAAACAGACCAACCATCTTCTTTTCAATCTATATATTCTTCACCAATACCCTTTCTTGCCCCAAATATAAGCATTCTGCGGGTGTAGCCTTGGCTCATTTCTGTCTTTTTAAAACATTATCCTTATATGACCACTGTAACTCCACATCATGT